ACGTGTGCTCTTCCGATCTCATGGGAAAGATATATGAGCGTCGTCCGGAACAGCCAACGCCAAATGTATCTATGGGAGAAGTTATACTGAACAAATTGCGCGAGAACGGCAATCGTGTTTATGCAGTATGTGCCATAATTATGAAATTTATGTTAGCGATTGCCAATTACAGGTCGATTACCTGCAAAATTCCGAAATACATATAATAACGGAGAGCGTAATAAATCAACGAAAGTTGTTTTGTAATTGACGCTAATCACGAAATTCGCGAGTTTCCTCTCTAAACTTTGCCTGTCACATTATGTATCGCTTGTAAGACTTATAGCCTCTTGTTCACATCGCATTTTTATGTTAATTTAACGCTTTTGCTTTTAAGATCCAAGTACTAGAAATTTAAAAGATATTCACCAACAAGATAAGACACAAAAAGGGCAATATTTAATCAATTAAACAATAATAATAATAATTTGAACTAGACTGTGTATGTAAAAAACACAAATAAAGTCAAGAGCATCTTCTATGGTCACGGCTGGATCTTGCCTAATAAATTCTATTTAAATTTTTAAATCCATTATACAATCATTTATACTGCCCGCCGAATCAATTTCGGACTTGCAACGCAATCATTAGCTGAAGCTAGAATCGTTAGCGAGACCATTATTGACCTTTAATTCTCAATAAATCAATCATAGTTAATGAGCATCTTAAAATACTGTGAAGAACTTATTGCAAAATATATTACCTCAGTCAGAGTTTGAACCTGGAACTGCTTGGAACCTTTAATCAGTTCATATATTTTACAGACATAAAACATTTTTTGTAATTATATTATTAAACACATTTGCATTTTGTATTTAAATTTTATTGTAAGATTTATATGTATATCTAATACAATATATTTTAACGTGTATTAAAAAAATCCAGTGTTTATTTAGCATGTAAAACTGAATTAAAAGGATAAATTTTTACTTTAAAATATCTCATGATTATATATTGACTTTATACAATTGCAAAGAGATTTTATTTTCTCGTAGATAGACGGACCAACCGGCAATCAGATGACATATAGAGAACTACTCGAGAATAGTGTGAAACTCGCAAAGTTTTTACAAAAGTTCGGGATAAAAATGGGGGATAGAATTGGCATTGCAACCGAAAATCGATTAAATTGGTTAATACCAGTTTATGCAAGCTACTACATCGGTGCTATAGTTGCACCGTATAATCCTATGTTCACAGAATGTAAGTATGTAAGTAGTACTATGTAATATTTACTATTGTACATATATTATTTATAATATATGTATACACATATATATATTATCTGTAATACGCAGATTTTTTTGAAAAGAAGCAGTCACAAATTTTATATATATTTTACCATCAAAACTAATTATAATCCGTTAAAGCCCGATTTTAGTTAAAAGTAAAGGAAGGGGGGGGGCAAATAGTGACAGGGGGCAATAGTGTTACTTTAAATTTGTTCTTTTTTCCGCGTCTATTTTACCACTACTCGTTAATAGAAACATAATTCTCAAGTATCTAATCATCTTCTGAAAAAGTCACAGAAATCAAAAGCCAAATATAGCTAACGGAGAAATTTAAAATTTTTTATTCCTAAAAATAAGATAAAACCTGGATCTTTTTTTGATATTTGAAATTATATTTTCTTAATTGCTGAATCATTGAATGAGATCTAACATATCATATGTTATACGGTATTTTTTTTCCTCTATTTTGATATAATTCCTATGCTTGTATATTAATTTTATTTCTTTTAGCAAAGTTTTAAATGAAAAAGTAGCGCGCATCTGGGTCAAATCAAGAAGATTTTCTAATATTTGAATATGATTCTTCTAATTTATTTGGAATAATATGAGATTATAGTGACAATTAAGACAAGATTTAGAATAAATATGATTTTTAATAAGAAATACCAGCAAATAATGTTAATTACTACTATTATTTATCAATAAATAAAAATTTACATATGGTATAGAGTATAGAAAATAATATAAATTATCTTACCTAATCAAAATGTCAAAAGAAAGATCGATTAGGAGCTAACAATAAGAATTATGTATTTTGTAATTGTCCCATAGGGTGTCACTATTTACCCATAGGATGGGGCAAATAGTGACAAATATAGGTTTCAGTTTTTATGAAAGTCTAGCCCGTATACATAAATTAATTATGGAAACTCTAATTAAGTTTTTTGTATATTTGAAAGTGAAAATGTACTCTTTTAGTGAAAAATCATATCTCTTAAACTTGAAATTAGCTTGTAGGGAAGAGAGGAAAAAATCCGTCACTATTTCCCTCCCTTCCCTTAGTTTTAACAGTTTGCGTGAAAAGTCGATAACCCATGTAGAACAATAATGTTAACAGGGTGGGTGTGGATTTCCATGCAACTAATTCTAACTAGTGAAACTATTTGGGTTTTACCGAATTATGGGTTTTGATGACAGCATATTAAGTTTAATGCATCCCTACTACTCTATACTTTTAAATCTGAAAGGCATGTTTCATAATTAAAATTACAATGTTTAATGTAATGCACAGTCTTGGAAAAATTTATCTCGGGGATGCGGTTTGCAGCGTCATAGAGTTTAAACCTTTTTTTTTAATTTGAAAAAAATGCAAGTCGTTACAATTTTTTTTGCAAAGCGAATTTTTTACAGCATTTTATAGTAACCCTTGTATATTTTCTCACGTATGATCGGTATTACCCGGTGTGCATTATAGGGAGGATGCAGATTTTGCACATTGTGTGCATGCGGACATATGTAATACCAGAGAAGATCCCTCTGGTAATACATACACCTATACACACTCAATGTGCAAAATCTGATCGCCAATCTTCCTATGATGCACATCGGGTGATGTCGATCATACATGAAAAAAATACAAGGGCTACTTTAAAATGCTGTAACTTTGCGAAAAAAATCACAGCAATTTGCATTCTTTTTCAAATTAAAGAGAAAGGTTCAAACTTTATGACAATGCAAATCGCATCTCCAAGAAAAATTTTCTCAAGGCCATGCATTCCGTCAAACATTGTAATTTTCAGTACAGCAAACATGCCTCTCAGATTTAAGAGTTTAGAGTAGTAGAATGCTTTAAACTTAAAATCGATACAAAATATTTTAAAGTATTTTTTAAAATGCCAAAATCATCTACTGTTTTATCACAGTGCCGTATTAAGTCCGATAAGTTCAACGGCTTAAAACAATTGAAACATAAAAATTTTATTCCTCTCCGGAAACTTTTCGAGGGTAGTGTACATACTAATTTAATAAAAATATAAAAACATAATAATTTAATAAAAATATTATTTCTCTCCGGAAACTTTTCGAGGGTAGTATACATACTATATATATATATATATATTAAATATATTATACATATATTATATATATATAT